ATATATATATATATATAATAGTTGCCAAAAAATGTTGTTGATCGACTTATTTATCTTATATTATCTTATATTTTATTTTAGAAAAGCATTTTCATCTCACAATGATCAGTTTACACAATATCGCAACCACTGCAGGTAGATTCACACAATACTGTGCATGATTTACAGCAGAAATGTCCTTACATAACATTAGCTGTAATTGTGGGAAAATTTCATATTAGAGAAGAATGAAAAGGAAAGAAAAGTAAAAGTGAATAAAGAGTAATCTAAATCACATTACCACTTATTTATTCTATCAAGTTAGCTAATGTCTGACCTTATAGGTTTATAGGTTTAATGTACTCAGTCCACTTTGTTCAAATCTGGAAAAACATCTTTGTGGACTTAAGGGGGAATGACAGCCATTATTCCATAATATGTATTTCATGCATTATATTATATATACATAAAAAATATAATATATATGATATGTATTATATCATGTATCCATTCACTGATGGTGGGTGGCTCTGATTGTATCCACTTCCTTGTGACAGCCTTTTTACTATTTAGCTTGTTTATTTATTTTTAAGTCTATAAAATGTCAGTAAATTGAAAAAAATGCTCTTCACAATTCCAACCAACAGTCTGAAACCCAAACATACAGTTTACAAAGATATGAACCAGAGAAAAGCAGCAAATCCTTATATTAGGAAAGCAGGATCCAGCTAATCTTCTGCATTTTTCTTGATAAATGGACTTCTGGTTTCATGTTTAGAAATATAATAATGCACGTATGATCATTTTATCCAATAGTAAACACACCTACTGTAGGCCATTATTATGAACACACTTCACTGACACTTGTTTGCAGTGCTGCGTTTGGCAACCGTTTCATTTTGCACAGGTTTTAGTGTCTCATATACTCACAGCTGAAGGGTTAAAATCATGCCCAGTCTATTTTAAACTCCATGCCTCAGCAGAAGATAGGTCGAGTATCTCTTGTGAAAACATACAGTACCGCTACTCTGTAAATGGCAATTGTCCTTACAGTACTGAAGTTCCAAGTGGGAATTTAACTTTACCTATGCTAGAGCTACACTCGGGTCTGTTCTGTGCTGCTATTTTGTGCACTGCACAGGTCAGAGATCACCTGTCAGACAAACTGTGTTCTCAGTCAATGAGTGAATTATAAACAATGTTAATAATTGATTAATTGTCCAGTGTGTTATATTTAGGAGGATTTATTACAGGCTGTAAAAGCACATGGGTAGGCTATAGAGTCATTCAGGCAATAATTACTTGTATCTATCGTACGATAAGTCAATAACGTAATTCTTGTGACAGGCCTAATTATTGCTGTAGAGACAAAATGACGAAGACAACATGAAGCACATCTTCTAAGGCCTAATGTTTTTCCGACCTCTCAGCAACAAGAGAGCAGCGGTCTCATTGATGAAGAGTTCACTGTGGCCCGTCTCTACATCAGCAAGATGAAGTCGGAGGTAAAGACGATGGTGAAGCGCAGCAAACAGCTGGAGAGCACTAAGGCTGAGAGCACCCAGAAGATGGAGGAGATGGAGTTGGAGCTGACTGCCTGCCAGCTCCGCATCTCCCAGGTAACTGCTGCTCACCGCCACCATGGATACTGTCACCATAGTGACAAAATGTGGCAGTTAATTAAATGGCAAATTGTGTGTTTAACAGTCAAACAGCAGCGTCGTAAGTTGATGGGGTTTTTCATGTGTAACACTGTTCTGGGTTTATGTCATGGAGTTAGTGTGAGTTTATAATTGTGTTCTTTTTTGTTTTCCTGTTGGTGTCCAGCATGAAGCTAAGATCAAGTCCCTGACAGACTCCCTCCAGAATGTGGAGCAGAAGAAAAGACAGCTGGAGGAAAATGTGGACTCGCTCCATGAGGAAATAGTCAGGATCAAAGCCCAGGGTGAGCACAGCTTACTGGCATATAACAAACCCAGGCACAGGACCTTTCTTCACGGTTATCCTGGACCAAATAATTCACAATATTATCCCGCTAAAAGGGGAGTGACTTAACCTTACATTTTGTTAATAAACAAATATTCTTATAGCGTAACAGAAGGGACACCTCAGACAGGAACCTCAAAGTTCGCTGTATATTGAAATCCAAAGGTTTAGGATTTTGGAATGACTGCAAAGAGGTGGGCTCCCCCTTTTAGCAATTCAAAGTATATCAGGAAATCAATACATCTATTTATATATGTATATATAAAGTGATTTATTTATATTATATATTTTTTCTTGACTGAAAAGTCTTTGTTTGCCCAGGTGGATTGTCTATCCATTGCTTTCCTTCATATGTCCAAAACATTCAATATGTAACAAATCTGGATATTGGAACAAACCCATAATAAAATCAGCCCCTAATGTAAGTTTTTTTTTCAAGTCACTCATGTGAGGGTATTCACGACTATTCCAATAATGCTAATTCACCACGATAAACTTATTTGAATGTTTTTTATCGCAATAATATCGTACCATCCCTATCCAGCACCTGAGCCAACTGTAGCAGTTGATTGAAATGTGTTAGGCCAAAGGTATTATTGCTACAAAGTCTGCATATTTCTGTTGAGTTCAAACTTTTTTAATGATAAATTGTTGTCAATATGATAAATCTAATGTTATTCTGCTGTATATTTGTTGAAATTAATATGTTATGGTTAGATATTTGATGGATGTTTTCAGTGAAAATTCATTCACTGATGAGCTAAATGCAAGTTTGAGTTGAATGTGGATGAATGCGTTAGCATCGGTTTGTGATGGCCTTTGCCATCACTGTATGAATGCATGTGAATGTGGCATGTAGTGTAAAAGTAAAAAATGGTTGAAAGGCACTAAACAAGTACAGACACAAAAGATTGAAATCCATATTATTTGACTTTTTGTTGCTGGTTGTCCATAAAGAGGATGTATGATGTATCATGAAAAAACATCCTTTATTTCACTTTACAGGAGATAAATCTAAGCAGATGTGTTTTGTTTTTGTGAATGGACAGCTCTATTGTTTGATTGAGGCTCAAAATTGAAAAAACAACTGTTCCCTGGTTGGGATGATCACCTTTGGGATTTTCTTTTCTTCTTCCAGAGAGAGTCAATACCATGGAGAAGGAGAATGAGATCCAGTCAGCCAATGAAGTCAAGGTATTGTCCCACTAAGCTGTCCCTTACTACATGTGCTCTCCAAAGTTCTGACTACAGCTGTTTGTTTGTGTGTCCTCAGGATGCTGTTGAGAAACAAATCCAGTCCCACAGAGAGACTCATCAGAAACAGATCAGCAGCCTGAGAGACGAGCTGGACACCAAGGAGAAACTCATCACAGAGCTGCAGGAGTAAGACACAGCATCACCACACACACTTATCTCTCTAGATGTGACTGATAGTTCCGTACTGATACTGTTACTGACATCTGTGTAGTCTGAACCAGAAGATCATGCTGGAGCAGGAGAGGCTGAGGGTGGAGCACGAGAAGCTGAAGGCTGCGGATCAGGAGAAGAGCCGCCAGCTGCAGGAGCTCACGTAATGCCTCTACGTATAGTCTACCACAGCCCGTTTTCCATTTTGCCATTAGCACTAACATCCATCTTACACTCTGCAGGGTGCTGCAGGACAGGCGGGAGCAGGCCAGACAGGACCTGAAGGGACTGGAGGAGACTGTGGTCAGTTATTGGCATTTCCATTTAGATATGTATTAAATTAAATGGTGAGTTGAGTACGGAAGCCCTGAGAGGCAAGTGAGAAACAAAAATCTGGTGATCGATTTGTCTGGTCTAAGTTGTTTTCTTGCCTGTGTTTATGACTGAAGAGCAGATAAAAATAAAAATAAAGGTTTTAACTGGGGATTTTTTGGTTTGTTGTTGTAATACTCATTTCAGCCACAAGAGGCTGAAGTGCACCACTAGCCCATCTTTTAAATAGGACTAAAAGAATTCATATTTTCTTCCAAGTTTTTCATGCACTCTAAACACAAGTTACATATACTGTCGAAATATACTTAGCAAGTTATGCAACATTACTGTCATGCCTTTCTTTTGGCTAGAAATGCATTTTAATCGACGCTAAGAGAAATGAAAACTCACCTAGAAGAAAGTATGAATGCTTTTAGTCCTATTTAGAACATGGGGTAGTGGTGCATTATAGCTTTGTGTAGCTGAAATTAGTATTACAACTACTCAGAAAAATAATCCTGACAAAAACACATTTCTCATCTGCCATAACTTTCACAGATTGCAAAAGTTTTCACAGATGAAAAAAAATAAACAAAGAACTTATATTATTCCATATTATATATATTATATAATATATATATATTCTTTAAGACATAAACAGAGGAGAGAAAACAATTTAGACCAGACTTAGAGAATACATTTCTAAGTCAAAATGTCTTTTTCTCACTTGCCTCTCAGGGCTTCCATAGAACTCACCCAATTATCAAAAAAGAAAGATCTGATTTGATTTTAAATACAATGGTGGTGAATGTAATTTCATTTAATTTTTATTTTCCAATTTTAAAATTGGAAATGGACGTTTGCAACATCTCGATCCAGAAACAGTGTACCATTTACTAAATCCCATTTTCAATGCTGTGAGTGCCAGTATGTACAAAAAAGAGTTGACACACACAAATCTATCAGGTAACTGAAAACGGATTGTTTTCCCTAAAATGATAAGCAATATCAAGTCATCTGAAGGCTGAATTATGCTCTGAGATTGTGAGCAACACAAATTAAATTCTATTTACTACACTTATATTAGATTGGAGGTAGAAATCTCAGGGGAGGATGTCTCAAAATCTGGACAAAGTCTGGGTGTAACTTTGGTGAATCAACAACCCTTTAATGTCTACAAACTGTTTTGTTTTTCTTCTCTGAGCTGGTTCTCCTTGCCTTTACACAGGCCCGAGAACTGCAGACACTCCACAACCTCAGGAGGCTTTTTGTCCAAGACCTGGCCACTAGAGTCAAAAAGGTAAAAGTCCTGACAGTATGTGAGTTGCTCATGCTGCTTTATGCCTGCAGTCGTGGTCCTGGGATCTTTTTTTTTGTGTGATTTCATCACCTATCTGAAGAAATATCACATGAGCTCTTGGTGTCCCGACCTCGACATTTACCTGCAACGAAACAAACAAATCCATATTTCGTTCATGCACCGGCGGCTGCACTCCATTTAATTTGCACTATGATGAAATTTTAATGAATCCGGGGAACACAACAGAAAGTGTCTGCAATAAGTAGGCCATCTGATTCTTCAAAGGTAGCAGCTGTAAATTGGGGACCCAGGCCCTCGGTATGCCGCTCGTCTCCAGCCCCCAGGCTGAGGCTTGATGAGATAAACAAAGGCAAAGCAGGCTTTCCTGGAAGACGCAGAATACGCCCAAATCTGCTACCTGTCATCTCATTAGGCACAGATAGGATGCTTTGGAATTGGGGGTTTTGGTTACAGACACTAGGTTGTAAGAAACCACTGACAAATGACTGCAGAGGTAAAACATGGAGTGAAATCAGTGAGATAAAGCTGTGTTTGCTTGAGCAGAACGCTCAGATGGACTCAGATGACACAGAAGGCAGCGCTGCCCAGAAACAAAAGATCTGCTTCCTGGAGAACAACCTCGAGCAGCTCACCAAAGTCCACAAGCAGGTAGAAACAAGTAAAAACACACAATTACTGCAGTGCGTCCTTCCTAAACTGATCATAAAAGTGACTTTCACCCTCTCTCCTTACTCTGTGCTATCTGTTTCTCCTCTGCAGCTGCTACGGGACAACGCAGACCTTCGCGGTGAGATCCCTAAAATGGAGAAGCGCCTGCGGGCAACGGCTGAGCGGGTCAAAGCCCTGGAGTCTGCTCTGAAGGAGGCCAAAGAGAACGCAGCCCGCGACAGGAAGCGCTACGAGCAAGAGATGGAGCGAATTAAGGACGCTGTCAAGCCCAAAAACATGGGAAGGAGACCCTCGATAGGTAGGTGGTGAGTGGTGTGTAGAGTAATGATGTGGTGATTTGCAAGACAGCATTCTGAAAAACCTCCTCTGAGTATTTTGAGGCAACAGGCAAGTATTAAATTAAAGGAACAGTTTAGCACTTTGTAAAATACACTTTTTCACATTCTTGCTGAGAGTTAGATGAGAACATTGATTCCACTGTCATGTGGGTGCACCAAATTTCTGTGGAAATTTTAAATAAACACCTAGTGACACCTTTAAAGCTCACCAAAGAACAAGTCTTTTGTTTAATCCGTTTACAAACAGAAATTTAAAAAGGACAATATGTGCTTTTACAGCAAGTTATGTGCTGTAACAGTTTTTTGGCAAACAACAGGCAGGTGCAATGAATTCCCGGGGGTAATAGACTATTAAATGTAAGCAAAACCACAAATTGTTGTTTTTATTGTGATTTCTGTTTGTGTGCAGATTAAACAAAGGAGATCTAACATGTACCCTATTTTACATCAAAAGCAAGAAAGCAGCATGGAAGCCAGTGACAGTGTTACTTTGGTTACTTTTTTATTGTCTTTTACTTCAGTCTCTCTTTTAAACTCAACGCAGATGAATCAGGAGAAGCTCTCTCGCCTCTGTTGTACTGTAAAAAACAATACATAATGTTCCTGGTTATTTAAGCACCATGTCTCACCCCAATACCCGTAACTACTGCAGAGTGGGTAAGTACGTAAAGCTTCATTTATAGATATTAATTTATAACACACAGTTAGATAGTGCTTCACAAACAGAGCCATGCTTAGTCCTGTTTTCAGTGTTTATGCTAAGCTAGGCTAACTAGCCCCCCTTGCTCAAACTCCAAACATAACATGCAGGTGTGACAGTGGTATCGATCTTCTCATCTAACTCTCAGAAATAAGGTTAATAAGCTTATTTCCACAAATGCCAAACTGTTCCTTTACATTCAAACAAAGAAATGAGAACTGTGTATACGCCCTGAGTAACATGTGATCCCTCTGTATGTGACCCATGTTATCCCTCTGTGTCCCACCCAGCCAAGCCCATCAGACCAGGCCAGCTGCCAGGAGCCTCTCTCATCAACCCCAGCGTCAACAGGTCCAACCTCATCATCAAGGAAGGGGGCAACGGCAGGTTAGAGTCTGCACTGTGATCATTGGCTGATTGATAGTAACTGAGTGTATGCTCATGCTCTGTATGCAGACTGCAGGCGCCTTGCATTGCTCTTGGCTAGTAGAAAGCAATTGTTTGCTTTGTATCTTATCTTTGTGACATTCTTTATTGGCTAAACTCCACACTGTTTGTCATAATAATAATAATAATAATAATAATAAGTCAATAATTATAATAAGTTAGTATCATGGATCACATTAGCTAGAGAAGTAATTTTGCAAACCAACATTAGCTAGCTAACTAACATATCCACTCAGATAGTATTGTGTTAGCAATAAGTTAGCGAGCAAGCAAGCTAATGTTAGCCATTCAGCTGCCCCACAAGGCCAGCCGACAAAGTGACCTGCAAACGGCAAGCCAACCAGATCAGCCCCGGGAGCAGCAAGCTGACAGTATTTTGCTGCATTGTCTTCATTGGCAAGCAAACTACCACAAAACCACAATATCTATAATAATATATTTCACAAGCTTTGTTTGTAGATGTTGTTAGCAGACTTTTTTTATAAGCTAAGCTAAAGCTAAAACATAGATTTGGGCTTCATTTTTTCACAGCGGGAGAAAGTGGAAACGCGACGTTCATCACAGGCAACTGAGAAATATATTTTTTAGGTTATGTTACCTGTTCATTGGCAATGAAAAGTGTTTAGTGCGTAAACATAATATATAAAATGCCTCAAAATCTTACATATGGCACCTTTAATTAGTCACTTGTCATTGGCTAAAGAAGACATTCTGAGATTTTGTATTTTTATTTAGATGTATTCCCTATCTACGTAAGACATCCAAAACCAAACATGGAAATGCAACAGAAAGTACAGTTTCTTTCCTTTTCTCTTTTGTTTCAGCTCCTGAGGATGCAACACAGTCACCCAAACAGGAATCCAGAAGCCCAGAGACATTTCCATTACAAAATATTGAACTTTTACCTGGAACCACTGCACCATTCTTCCAACAGCAAAGTGTGTATATACTGTTTATAAGTATGGCCTGTACTGTGCAGTCCTTCAAGCCTCCGACTCTAAAAGAAACCAAACACACGCAAAATCAACACATGACGTGACATGCTGCTCTGCTAACAGCAGCTTGCCCCGAACTGTGCCAACATGAATGTACGTATCAGACCTTGATGTTGTGCTGTACAGAGAAGAGAGAGCACTGGTCCTGTTGTTTTTCATATTTCTCGGGATTCCTTTGGTTTAAGCACAGATTGTGGATTGGTTTTTGAACTGAACTGGGGGCAAAGGAAGATCACAGAAATCTCTTAGTGACACTCTTCTGCCTGTGCATCAGCTCACCCAAAATCAAAAATACATATTTTTTCCTCTTACCTGTAGTTCTATTTATCCATCCACATTATTTTGGTGTAAGTTGCTGAGTTTTGGAGATTTCTGCCGTAGAGATGTCTGCCTTCTCACCAATATAATGGAACCAGATAGACCTTGTTGTGAGTTGTTTCATGTAGGAACTATTTTCTTTCCATGTATCACCACGCAGAAGGAAACATGGATCTACTAATAGATACTGATAGAGGCTGGTGCTCCTGACAGTGCTTTTACACATTAATGGTGCCCTCCTCAACTGAGCTGCTAGCTCACCTAGCACCACAGACATAGCTAGCGTTCAGCTACGGTTGGTGGGTGTAGTTCGGTAGAAAGAAAATATTACCTAGATGAAACTACTTGGTCTATGGATTATCTTGAGTAACCGGGTCATGATTTCTGGAAAGAGACATTGCTGTTGAGCTTTTCAGATGTATTTTTTGGCACTTTGAGCACCACAAGCTGAGTGCCATCTGGTTCCATTGTATTGAAGAGAAGGTAACTATCTCTACGGCCAATATCTCCAAAACTTGTCAACTCACACCAAAACAATCTAGATGGATAAATAGCCCTAAAAGGAAGAGGGAAAATATGTATTTTTGATTTTGGGTGAAGTGTCCCTACAATACATCATATTTTACAAACCAATCAAATGTTTTATATGTAAAATCTCAATCTGTAAAATAGCTAGTAACTGCTACTGTCATTTTAATAGTGGAGTAAAAGGTATAATATTTCCCTCTGAACTGTAGCAGAGTAGAGTAAAGTACAGTAGTTGTGTAAATGTACTTAACTTTAAATTTATCTTGGGTCATACTATCTATTTGTGTGAAGATTGCATCCACACAAAACAGAAAAAAAGGCACTGGTGAGATACATTTATAGGGAAGCATTAAGATTATTTAAAGGACCAGTGTGCAGATTGCAACCATTCAAACGCATTTTAAGGTAACGAAAACACAACAACAACTCTGATTGTCAGGCGATAATACACTAATGAAAACATACCTATGAATATCATATTCCATTTCTGACAATAGATCCACCTAAA